TTCAATATCTCACCGGTGGACGGACGGACGGATGGATGGATAGCTGCGTGGATGATATAGATGTACGCGTACTCTATTTATCAGCAGCCTGCGCTGGTGCACATTAAATCTCGACAAAACACCCCCCCCCCCGCATTTCTTGAGAATTGCTGTTTTTGTTGTTAAGTTTGTTGTCCTTCAACCCGCACCGCCGATTAGCCACGTACGGTGCAAAGAAGTTCAACACACGTATTGATATCAGCTAAATATATGTTGTGAGTGGTAGCGAAGTGGTTAGCGCTACGAACCCGGCGACCCGAGTTCAAATCCCGCTCATGGCCAACGCCATTGGCGGTTTTTTTTAACCGGTCCTGGGCCTCCCCTAGGTCGACTCAGCCTCAAATGAGTACCTTGTGCGGTGTGTAAACAGCGCCACTGGGGTGACAAAGGTGGGCGGGCGTGGTGCTGGCCACCCCTTTGTGTACCTTTCTGGCCTCAATAGGTGCTCGCTAACAGCACTTGCCCCAACAGTCTACGGGGGGTCTTTGTCTTAGTGTGTATTTATGGGAAGAATATCACTCACGAGGACGTGGAGCAGAGTAGACTTTCGGATTTACTGGTGCCAACGGTGTCAAGGTCGGCCTCAGTAGAGGAGGTTCGTGAAGGGCGCTTCTGGGCGGTCAGAGGCAGTCGCCCTCCAGCAACAACGGAGGGGAGATGAGCGACGCTCACAACAACGAGCGGAGCGCCGGGCGGCTGAAATGCAGGCAGGTTGGTACAGTGGAGGAGCACAGGTGGTGCGTCGGCCAGTCATCTGAGTCAGTCAACCCATGGCACCTGGGTCTGTCCCATGACCTCCTGCCAGCAGCGAGCCTTCGACGCTTCACGTGGCCTCAAGGTGCACCTAGTCTGGTATGAGCGCCGTGGTGGCGTCACCGCGTTTGTTGCTGCTGCTGTTGTTGTTGTCGGCGAACTCCGCTAACGAACCACTCATCTCACGGATGTTCGATTACCGGTTGCGGTTAACATGAGTAGCGAGTATCCTGGAGAGACAAAGACGGCCGGGATTAATGGCAGGCCCGCACCGCTCCTCGTATGCGTCATAGGTGCTCGCTCACAGCACTTGCCCCAACAGTTCACGAGAGGCTATATGGGGGATTTCTGTCTTTAGTTTTTACGAACTCGCATTCGCCTCTGCGCTAGTGGGTGGTGAGTGAGGGAGAGGACTTGCCAACATACACGTGTGCTGCAAAGATAAAGCTCCCCCGTGTCACCTACAAAGGCTGTTTGGGCAAGTGCTGTTAGCGAGCAGCACCATCTGAAGGCCTGGACGGCACCTCAAGGTGGGTGGGTGGCCAGCACCACGCCCGGCCGCCTTTGTCTCCCTAGCGGCGATGTTCGCACATCGCACCAGGGTACTTATTTGAGGCTGAGTCAACCTAAGTGAGGCCCAGGACCGCTTCAGATAATCATTACAGGTGTTGGTGGCCGTGAGCGGAAATCGACCGCGGGTTACATGGGCGGATTCGCGGCGCAGCGCGCTCACCGCTGCACCACCGCTCCCCACATAGACCACTACACTCCGGCTCCACGCACACACACGCGCACACCTCATGACACCAAGAGAAAGAGCGAGAGAGATAGCATCGTGCAATTAGTGCGCGCCAATTAACGCCATCCTAACCACCGCGTGCAAGCAGCAGCGGCGGTAGCAGCGGTAGCGATAACAACTGCACGCTCAGGGCTCCCAGTATCACCCCATCCCATTGAAGATCACAGCTTTGATGTAGATTTCAAACGGCGCGTTAGCGGGCCAAAAAAAAAAGATAATGGGAGAGCGCTCCTTTAGAAGAAGCGTGACGAGTTGAAAGAGTGCTCGAAAGAGAGAGGGGAGGGGGAGGAGCGAGAGATGTAAGAAATGGGGGAGTGGGTGGTGTTGGTGTTGGGAAGAGATCAGCCAATGTGGAGGAGGCTCGTGACGGGCGCTGCTACTGGGCAGCTGGAGGCAGTCGCCCTCCAGCATCAACGGAGGGCAAGAGGAGAGACGCTCACAACAACGAGCGGAGCGCCGGGCGGATAAAATGCGGGCAGGTTGGCACAGTAAGGGGGTACAGCTGGTGCGTCGACCGGTCATCTCAGTCGGTCAACCCGTGACCTCCCTGTCAGCGAGGCCTTCGACACTTCACGTGGCCTCAAAGTGCACCTAGCCTGGCACAGGCGCCGTGGTGACGTCGCCGTCACTTGGTGGCGAATGGCGGGGATTGATGTTGGTGGAGAGAGAGGATGGAGAAATAAAGAGAGGACGAACGCAGATCAAAGCCAAAGACAAAACAACTTTTCTTTTATACAAGCAAGCAGCGTCTCGCGGAGTATTTGAGTTCAGACGAGTGGCTATTAAGGGGCTGGGGAGTTTGTTCCGAAGCACACATAGATCACTGTGATGATGATGATAATTGCGATGAGAGATGGACGTCAATTAGAGACGTTGGGTGCACGTGGTGAAGTAACAATGAAGGCATCGGCCGTTTTAAAAAGTTTTTTTTTTATCTCTGAGCGCACGCGTTGAATAAGGGAGGGGGGGGTTGAGTGCAGTCGTGATCGTACTGGACACAATGGACCAGGCCAACCTGGAATTGGATTCCCGGTCACGGCTGAACGTCTGTTCAAATCGCACTCACATACACAATGTACTCATGTACGTACGCACACACGCATGCACCAAACAAAGACAACGATCTCTCGTATAGCCTGAGCAGACTGCTGGGGTAATAGTCTGATGAGGCTCAGTCGACCTAGCGGAGGCTCAGGACCGGTTTAGATCATCGTCACCGGTGTTGGCCGTGAGCGAGAATCGAACTCGGGTCGCCGGGTTCGTAGCGCAGCGCGCTGACCACTACACTACCGCTCCTCACAAGGGGCGGGGTGGTTAAGGGGACACCACACTCACACGTAGACACACACACTCACACGTAGACACACACACGTACACACATCACATGTAGACTCACACACGCAGACAAACACACACACACGTAGACACACACACACTCACACGTAGACACTCACACGTAGACACACTCACAC